AAAAATTAAAACGCAGAGAATGAACAAAAAAGGAAGAAAACTGAGCACATGCACGCACATACACGTGGAGGGTTATGTCACCTTCATTTATGGTGGCCCGGCCGTCTCTTAGACTCCACGCAATCAACAGCCCAATCCTCAGCGTCGTCGAGCCTCACAACGCAGAGCCCAACCTCCAGCAAGAGCTTCGGGACCACAACCGCGGTCAAGAACGTTCGCGCGTGCGTTTGTGATGGGTGCGCGTGCATGTGGGTGTGTGTGCGTGTGTGTGTGTGTGTGCTACGTGTGTGATGAGTATGGGTGTGTTGTGTTAGTCGCGTACCGGGTCGGCAGCCCAAGTTGCCAGTAGAGAGTCCTCTCTCTCTCTCTCTCTCTCTCTCTCTCTCCTCTCTGACAGACTCACGTATAAAGGGCCTCCTTCCACTACCCTCGACTTGAAAAAATCTCAAAAATCTCATGGGCGGCACCGTTCCAATATGCCCTTGAGATTCGCTAATCACTGATTAACGTTCCCGCCGCAATAAATTGCCGCTCTGAAATCTGGCGAGGGCTGTAGGGCGCCCAGGCAAACCGCCCTAATTTTCAAGTCACCTCCCCCGAATTCCCTGAAATCCCTTGAAAACGGCGCCAACAGTTTGCTTTTTTTTTTTTTTTTTTTTTTCCGAAGGCCCAACCAATTCAATGACGTGTCGAATCTGGACAGGACGGCCTTTGAGGCCTTTTTTTACTGTCACGGGGAACCCCGTAGCAGCCACATCCGTGCTCAAGCCTCCAACGAGGGAACATGCCGGAGCTGCACCCACCAGCAGGTGCGATACCTGCTACAGCAGGTGGGCGATACCGGCCAAGGGTCAGCCGGTAGCATCAGGACCGAGCTTCTTCGATGGGCAAGTCACTGTGCCTCCCCTCTGGTCCCCTGCCCCTCTGAACACCAGCAGTCTCTGCTAAATGCCACTCGGGGGGACCAACGGCATGTCTCTAGGTGGCGGGCGCCAAGCTTGCCCAGGAAGGTGCATGAGGCCAATGGGGATTGAACCCAAGACCTCCAGAATGCCACTTGCATGCCTTACCAACTGAGCTAGGCGGCTGGATCAACAGGTTGCTTTCGGTCCCCCTGTCGTCTTTTCTTATTTTTACCCAGCCACGACGCAGCACATATTCCCTCTCCTACAGTTCCCCTTGGGCTCGGACCGACTAGGTCCGATTTATCCGAGTTATTGACTTATCGTGAGGGCACGGGTTCGCAGCCCGTATTTTGTTTATTGACGTGGTTGGGGAGGGGTAAGGTAGTGATTATGTTGTGTGTATGTTTTGTCATATTTGCTATACACAACTCGAAGAGTGTGTGGGGGCGGAGGGTCCCGGTTGGTGCTCTATTCATGATGTTCATGGGACGCTGGACCCAGTTTGCAACAGGCGGCGCTCCTCATCAATAGACAGAAGAATGTGTGTGCGTGTGTATGTGAGAGCGAGTGAGTGTGTGTGTGTGTGTGTGTGTGTGTGTGTGTATGTGTGTGTGTGATGAGATGAGTCTACTGCACTAAACGATGCAGCGAGCTTGCGTTTTAATTAAAAACAACACAATGCGGAAGATGCAGAAAACCACGGGCATTTCAGTATTGCATGAAGCAATCCACGACCTATGTGAAACCAACATTATGACTCACCGATAGGGGCCTACTACCATCCATGGAAAAGAGCAGGGATTTATCGCAGAGGAGCCCAATACTTCACAAGGAGATAGCATGGATGTGAATAACGATAAGCGAGGAAAGATTCAGGATAAAGAGTATGAAAATAAACAAAGGAGGGTGAGAAATCAGTAGTACTTATTGACATACTAAAAAGGAAAAAGAAAAGAAAGGAACAAACAAGCCAGAGA